ACGGCCGCCTGTGGGCCGGTCACGCCGCGGCCTCGGCTCCGTCCCGTGCGGCCCCTGGAGAGCTCATAGCCCTACCTGGGCCCTGGGCCGCTTTCCTGGGGCGCCGTCAGCCTCCGGCCTTTCCCTGTGGCCCCTTCTCCTCCCCACGGCCCAGGAGGCTCCAGCCCGAGCGTCTGGCCGCAGTAGCACAGCTCCGGGGCGGCTCCTTCATCTCCCAGCAGCCCTGCCGGTCTGACCCCATCAAGCGCTGCCTACCCAGCGTCCGACAGCCCTCCCCTTAATTACACACTCAATCAGGTCCTCCCCGGCCCAGCAATTTGTGGTCTCCGGGCTTCCCTCCACTGAGCTGCTGTGGCTCCGGCCTGGGCTTGGCAAGCCTCTGAAGCTTGCCTGGGTTTCTGAGGCCACAGTACCCAGACTTGAAAGCCTCGATGCTATTTCACACTCTATTTCCTTCCAAATTAATTCTCTGATGAATACTGTCCTTTGCAGTGATTCAGCGAGGGCCATTCCTTTACATCTTCCCTGGACCTCAGAGACTTTTAATCTCTCTCGAATGCAGGCTGTCCTCCGCAGAAAGGTTGCCTTAAAGAAAAATGCCCCGATTCCCCAGATGGGCAGCCTGCAGCGCCCGCCCCAGCTCGGGCCGCGTCCTTCCCGGGCCACACCTCTGACTCAATGCTGCCTCCTCGGAAAGTCTCTGCACCCCGGGAAGCAACTCCAACTTTGGGGCACCGAGGGCTTCGGAATTCTGGTTTAAGCCCCCCCTTTGTGAAGATGCTGACTCAGAGTGGCCACTCTAAGTGGTGACCACGCTTCAGACCCTGCCCGGCTGCCTAAACCCCTGGCCTCTGTCCCGCCCACCTCCTGACACAGGTGCAGCCATGCGACTTTAGGGGCCGTGACGGGGTGCTCCAAGCCCACCGTGATGGGGTGCTCCAAGCCCAGAGGGACCGGGCCCCAGGCGGCTGAAGTCCCAGCGCTTCATTCCAGGCAGCGGCTTCTTCCCCCCCTCGTGGCTTACACGCCCTAAGACAGCTAACCCCCGCCTACCACATTGCCACCCATGTCAGTGCCCGAGGTTGGTTGACCCCCCAGCTGCCTGTGGGGACATTTAGAGGGAGCCCTGAAGCGTCTTCTGAAAGAGGTTTCTCAAGCAATAACAGCCGGAGCCTTGGGAATGCCTTACCCATCCGTGTGACCCTGGGATGATTCTGGAGGGAGCCCCATCCGAGAGTCCCAAGTCACACAGGGCACAGGCTTGCAGGAAGTCAGCATGTGAACTAGCCCAGAGCCCCCGGACAGCGGGGGGGGTGGGGGGGAGGCTGGACTCACAGCTGGTGCGGGACCCCAGGATCAGTGGTGTGCAAGTTCTCAGACGTTAGTTTGGATCTTTGCTTCAGAAGTGGTTGAAGGTAGACCCGACTATCCAGCTCCCCTTCAGCCAGGTGGAGAGAGAGGAGTCCTGGGAAGGCCAGGTTTTGGGGGGAAAGTGTTTTCAGAGCTCATTCTCTCTCCCATCCCTAAGGACCAGATTCCTAGGATAATTTGGGGTGGACGCAGGGGAGGGAGGCGAGCTGTGTGGCCAGTCCACTCGGCCACTAGAGGGCAGGCTGTGAACAGAGCTGAGCCCTTCCCCAGAGAACCCCCCAGCAGCCAGCAGAAGGGACCCACACTTGGCCACAGCAAACTGGCCAACCACAGCGTAGCCCCAAAGCCAGAGAATGACACCTCCCCGGCCTGTGGGAAGCAGGGTACTTGCTCTCAACCCCTGTGGCCTCCTAGGAGGGGGCTGGACAACAACCTAGGGGGCTCCACGGAGAAGGGGTGCCAAGGGCCACTTGCAGAATTTCACACAGTAAGTACGAACAGACGTGCATGGCGGGACTCTGCGCGTGTCTCTGGAGATGGCCCTTCGCGCCAGCTCCTGTCTTGAAACTACCTGCACGAAGCTGCTAGAGGGTGACGCGCCAGCAGGCCCGGGCAGGTTCACTATGGAGTCGAGCAGGCAGATCAAGGGGAGTCCAGAGCCCTCAGTGGTCATCTAGGCTTCCCACCCTCCATGAATCCCCACTTTCTCTGGGCTCTCTCTGGAGATCTGTCCTGCCTCTTTGGTGCTCACAGGTCCGCTCCCGGTACCCTACCCAGCCATCTGTCTCCAGGGACACCACCCTCGCAGGCTGCTTCCAGGCTCAGGGGTGCACACTCGCACGCACCCACACCTGTGTTCCAGGTGTGCACCACCACCAGGCACGCACACCCCACACAGGTGACAGCCACAGAGGCCAGTGGCGCAGAAAGTCCGGGCAATCCATTTACCCTACAGGGGACAGGGCAGTGACTGTCCAATGAGTCCCTAGGTCCAGTGTCTGGCCAAACCCAGGCGCTGTAAGAAACGCCAGAGGGCCTTGGAGGGTCAGTCAGAGGAGGCCCTCGTGAGGGCCACCTGGTCAGTCAGAGGAGGCCCTCGTGAGGGCCACCTGGTCAGTCAGAGGAGGCCCTCGTGAGG